ATCTCAAATATATATATATATATTGCCAAAAAAAATATCAGAATTAAATTGATAAAATATTTCTATATCAGTCATCTAGTATTTAAAAAAATATGAATATCTTTATTTTAGAATATTCTTATTATATAGAATATAGAATTATATAAAAAGAATTTAGTCTAAGATAAATTCTGCGAAAGATTTCTAAATAATTTTTTTGAATAATTTTTTTAATTTTGAAATTAAATCTTCTTTTTATTGAATATTATTATTTCTTCGAATCATCGAATTAAAACTAATTATTAAATTTATATCTATATATCTCTAGATTTTTTCATATTTCAATCAATTTCAATAGAATCTCGTTCTATTTTCTATGGCCAACCAAGAAATAATCTATAAAGGAGAGAGAGAGAGAGATAGAGATAATTTTTGTAACCTTCTTTATTCCTTTCAAGCAACCGTAAGATTACGTGACCTGCATATATAGAAAAATCGATCAAATTCAGAAATGATACAATGAGCTAGAGGATTAAGTTCTTCCTCCTATTCCTGGCAGATAAATTGAAATCCAATGATTTGGTATTGGTCATCCTTTACCTTTTTGATTTTGAGCGAAGCACTAAGATTCTTCAGATGCGGATGAGGACAGCTTGCCTGTCATGTCAGCAAAGAGTACCAGCACGACATGGAACATTTATCCGAAAATACCTAACACCGAATGCCAGTCCAGAACTTGCTCTATCTCGCGCTCTGCCTCGATCCAAGCTTGAAGTCAACTTGTGTTGTGCTCGTGTTGAGAGATGTTGATAGCATGCCACACATTGGGTCTCAAATGTGGCAGCCACCACCGGGCCTATTGCTTCAGCGCCACAGCGACAAACCGGGCAGATTAGATTGGAAGATGGGTACCTTGGAAAGGTAGAGTCGTTAAGCTCTCTGGGACTTGAGGACTTGACACTAGTCGCCCTGGCTTCGGCATGAGAACACCAAGATCACAAAGACCAGACCTCGAGTCCTAGTGTGCTGACACCCTAGCTTGGAGGCGTCAAGTGGGTCACAAGGGCCAAGGTCATCCGCGACAGAGCAACTCAGCTGTAATCACGCACTCTGGGCCTGCTTTCATTTATTACGCTGGACAGCGATTCCGAGATGTAGTGCAAACCCATGCATGTCGGGAAACCGAAGAGCAGAAAGAGCCACAACAACGGCGCTAGTATTCCCTTCACTCGCAGTATCCGGGGCAAGCACGCATCCGCACTCACCCAGCTCGCGTAGCATTCGGCATGCAGCGCATGCCTCACACACACTCAGTTGGCACAGCCAGGTTCTTTCACTTGATCTGTCAATGCTCTGCACTGTCTACACAAGCAATAAGGCCGGCAGTAGACGTGTCTTGCGAATGTCTTGCTTTGGCTAAACTTCTACTTTGTCATCTGAGTTTCTATCTTCTGTCTGATACAGACCCCAGCCATTCCCTCGACATGTACACATAATGACATGTGTATGCATCCTCTCTGTCAGTTCATATGCAACGGGCAGACGCAAGTATCCAAGTTGCCGAGGTGTTTAAGTTGTCGCCTCTGCGTCTGCTTGTGATGCAAGCCATGATCGTATGCTGTCATTCATTACATGTCACGATGTAAAGGTGGAAGTGGATGTTGTTAACTACTCTGATGCGCCATGTTGTGTCAACAGGAAGCGCCTGCATGGCAGCAATGCGATCAGTGAGTCCCTCGAGTCGGACTCACCCAAGCAAATGCCTCGGCAATGCTAATGGCGAAGGTTTTGCAGCGGCTTGGAAACCTCTTCTGGCACTGGCAGGAGAGGTGGTTCACTACTAACAGTTTGGACAGGTTGGCCCGGCAAGAGGTCCGGCTACCAGGTCTCAAGATGTTTGAGCAGGGCAGTGGTATAGGATGACATCAAGAACGCTAAGCACCAATATGTTCGATTTCAACAGCATACCAGAATTCTAACTGAATGAAGGGCAAACGCACCTGGCGCCTGCTCAAACGTATCGTTCTCAGTGCTTGCGAGAACCATGTCACAGAGAAATGGAACAAGAGACAGGTGACCCATGGTCTCTAAATAAATGGAGGCCTATGACCAGACATACAAAGCCTCTTGCCGACACGGCGAAGACAATCTGTCTGTCAACCCAGGTACCTATCCAATCACGCATTGTTGTGCTCATTGGCACGTTTGTATTTTCTGCGTGTCTGCCGATCTGTCTCCAGAAAATAGATACATTCATCTGTCTGTGTACATACATATTTATATCCGAGTACATACCCTGTTATGAATGTATGTATACATATTAACCTACTTACATAAGCCTGAGATACCTACATAGACTTATGGCTCTGTCCCAATGCTATGCACAGTCAGCACACCCAAAGATGCAGATTCGGTAATCAGTTGCTGGTACGTTCCGTGCATGAGTCCGTTGCGTGTAGGTGGCTGCCTGGGTCTTGCTCCTGTTGTCTGCCCTGTTTCTTCTCTGTTTGGTGGTTTCCTCTAGCTTCGAGAGTCTCTCCGTGTTCTCCAGCGTCGCAACGCGGCATCCAACCCGAACTTAATCATCACCTAAATGCCGTGATGACACGCTTTGAGCCGTGCCGGAATGGCCGCACGCAGTTGCTTATTCAACACATTCGGCCGTTGAAGTCGATTTCTGAAGCCCCCGCAACAAGGCCCGGAGTCACCGAAAGCCGTCGCAATCTGCTTTGGCCGCCTCTGCAGCATGCGCCTCAGCAACATCAGACAGTTTGTCCGACTGCACAAACGTGCATGGAAACATGTTGTTCTTTAGTCCCATCATATGTGCGATCTCTGCTGGTACCGTTGGCTCAGTACGTACGCACAGATGGACACCTAAAATCGGATCAGCACTTTCATTTCTTCCTTTACTCTCGCCTCTGAATGGGGCATTTACAGCAGATCAACACCCGGAGCTGATTTGCAGCAGGATATCTGTAGTGCTTGCGAGCTCGCAGTGTGCCTGTACATGTACGCGCCTTTGCATAAGACATGAAACAAACACAGACGCACATAAAAACCGAACGTGTACGTGTATGTACCCGTAGTGTATACATACAGACAGATACATATATACTTGTATAAATAACACACACACACACACATATATATATATATATATATGTATAAAAGGTTCGTTTGCTTCTCTGTCCGTTCGCATTTGCTTGCTTATGTAAGAGAAAGGTGTGGTGTAGATAGCAGGGGGTACTACCATCCCGGCGAGTCAGGTGCCCAAGAACCGCACAGTCTCCAGAGGCGACGCCAGCGCCGAGTGCAGTGGATACACCGCCTGCGGCAAGGCGCAAAATTTTTTATCTCAAAGCCCCAAAGAGGCATTTATGCTTCGGAATCTAGGGATGACAAACACCGAAATGTGGAGATCCCAGCCTCTGGACGATAACAATAAGAACCGCCTTAGGATGCCAGCAGGCTTCAAGGCCAATGCGTAAGCACGGCCCTGAACTGAGGCTCCGACTATAAGAAATGACAAGCAAGCTATGGACGCCTGGCGCCGGAAGGGAAGCTGAGCAGCTCGGATGCGAGGAACTAACATATCAATGAGTCTATAGTTCTACTGGCAAGTTGAAGTTCACACTGACACGCCCTGCTTAAGCTTCGCCGAAGCAGCCAACGTAAGAGCCGCCCCACCCAGGAGTGCCTGGCAGCGCCACAAGTTCTGCTGATCCAGGCAAAGGCCCTTTTTAGGGATCCTCAAGTCAAAGTGTGCCCGTTTTCACACAGGTACCTTGAGTGCATCCGCAATCCTACACTCTCTGCACGTTTCACTCACGGCAAGCTTCTGCAGCACGAAGCTCTGAAACTTACGTTTACGAAATCACAATCCCCACGCTTAGGCTGCTGCAAATGGTCCGAGGGAAGATCCCACCTAAGTTGTCGGAGCTCCATCAGAACGACCAACAATCTTGCAAGGCATCGTAAACTCCGTGTGAAGCTCTTGCACACACGATCTAAAGAGCATAGCTTGTCCTACACTCAAGGTTACTTCTGTCTGCAAACCGCTGTGGACCTTTGAGTGCCGCTATGAAAAAGTTGCCGACCTGATATACAGCATAAAACTCCTTGTGACAGGCAACGATGAAGGGCAAAAGAAGAAGCAACCATGGCAGCAGCAGCCACCTGACACGCTTTGCAACCGCAATCTCAGCTTCCAGAAAGCTGTCTGCGGCTGAAGAGACCCCTCCACGTCTCCCAATCAAACTCTGCCCAATCTCGGGCGCAGTGCTGGCAAAACACCAGGAATGGTGTTGTCAGATTCTCTTGGTGGACGTACGTGTCAGTCAACAGCGATGCAATTCGAAGGAAGCTTCCTTCTGTTTAATGCTCTCGACGGGATTCCGTAAGTGCAGCCTCATGGGGTGGCCCTGCGGAGGCAAAATCCGCGCGTTCTGCAAGCTCTCGGAAGGACTGGGATGGACCTGCACAGCTCTCATGCACCCTACAGCAACTATCCAAGATTGTAATATGTTCTCAACAATAACAATGCGAAGGACCGAAGGAATAATCGAGCACGGGACAACGATCTAAGCAACCTAGAAGTCAAAGGCTCGAGGTTGTGGCTTGCCGTCAGCGCGAAGAAGATGCAGATGTGCAAGCAATGTTGTTTGATCGCTTTTGCCGCTTCATCAGAAGAGACGCACATCTTGGCAACAAGCTGCTATGCTACTGCTAAGGCAGTTGCTGCTACAGACTCCTGGTGAATGCACTTGCTTTTGGCAGAGTGCCTCTGTGCCAAGAAAAATCGAGTCGGGTTCTATCTATCCCTGTCCTGATCAAGGTGTTCAAACGCACTAGGCACAGGAGACCGGGAAGTCAGACGTCAGGCGTTTGCATGTGCTATAGGAAGGTCTCCGTGCACTAGCGGTGTCCCATCACAAGACAAGAGACACAGTGATAGTGTACACATGGATGGGTGAATAAATTACATGTATTGCACATCGTGCACATCGTCTGAAAATAATCTAAGGCTCCTCTGGCAAGGTGTCGATCGGCTGATACCTCGGCGCCATGGCACAAAGTCGCCCGCCGACGTTCATTCAGTTCATTCATCAGATATTTTGAGGGGTGGTCTGGCAGCAACTCGCAAAGCAGGGGAATGTAAGACAAGAGGCCGTAGAGAAGTTGAACCAGTTGGACCCAAAGGCTCGGATTGTGAGCCTAGCCCTCGGTCGAAGCGAAACTCCCTACATTGCTCAAGAAGTCGAACTTTCCAGACTCGAGACTCACGCCTCCACCCCTAGACGTGCTGCCTTTCACCAAATCGCCCTAGTTTATGTTGGGAGTCTGTCTCTGGCATACTTGATCATTGTAGATGCCGGCTCCTTAGCTTGTGCCATGAGGCGATGCAAAAACAGTAAATGAAAACTTCATGCTGAGGTGATCCAACAGAGCACAACATTTCTGAGCAAGCCGAGATTCCAAAAGCTCGTTAACAAGCGGTGCCTCCTGACGTCTTGTGCAACCGCATCATGCTGAAAACAGTGCTCCTACGTTGATAGCCTTGCGCCTGCCACCCTCTTTCCCAAATGTCCTTGTGTAGGTGCACTTTCAGTGGGAAGAGGTCTTCTGAGACTTCGCTTGTGTCGTCCTGTGTCAATGTTAATCCCACTGCCAGCTATCCACGCCAGAGCGGCGTGCGATACGTGCTGACTGACACCTGAATTACTTAAGCACTCACTTGAAGATCCGGTCCCACTTCCGGATGAGGAAAGAGCCGATCGAAAGGACACCCCCCAGCTGCAGCAGCTTGTTGTTGCAGTCCCGGATAGTGAAATCTCTACCTTACAAATTCCATAGGCTTCTGTTCACAAAACACAGCTGGGTTTGTTAGCTGAGTGCGGCATGATGTCCAGGTCAGCGAAGACTCAGCTTCGCCAGCGCTCGATACGACTACTTGTGATGATGGAAGTTGGCTATCTTGTGCGCACAGGGCAACCAGCAGGAATCGACAGGAATCAACATACACTAAATTTTGAGAACCTTGTGAACTTGAAAATGCACTGTGGACCACAAGCGACTTTCTCGTTCGAACGGTCAGTGTCCCCGTACCATCAATCAAGCCTAAGAGATTGCTTAGATGTTGCGGGAAAAGACACAATGAACACTAGTAGTCAGACTGAGAGAGGGAGCACAGCTCATTGCCAGCAACAGGTAACGGCATTCGCGATTCTGGTGTTTGTGCTTTCTACGTCGGGGCATGAAAAATAGATGCAAAGCGACACCAAGCGCACGCTCGCAAAGGTTAATGCATACCTCTGCGAGACATTCAAAACAAGTCTGAATCACGCTTCGTGCCTTGTTTGCGGGCACAAGCGCATCAAAGAAGGCTGATCAAGATTGACCAAATAAGTAAGCAGGATTATGACTTGACTGATGGCCTGTGGACTATGACTACTTCGATCATATTCAAAACACTCTACGGGCAGGCCCTTTCATGCCCTTTCACTTTCCCTCCATCCCTCGCCTTTTACTTCCCACCTCCCACCCCTCACTCCCACCTCCCGCCTCCCGAAAGGAGGAAAGGCGGGAGGTTTGGGAGTTTGTGGGGGGCGGGAGGCAAAGGCACCCCCACTCCCAACTCCGAGGTTCGCCACGGCCTGTGATTTAGACCACACGGGGAAGTGAGGTGGAACGGGTGGGAGGCTGAGGGTCAGGTGGGAATTGGGACGACCGGCGTGCGAGGGAGAGGGGTGGCGGGGTGGGAAACCGAACGTACCGCAAGTCCCGCAAGAAGTGCCTGTAAATACGGCACAACTTGGCGGAAGCTTTGGTATCGACCGAACCGCTTCACGGCTCCAATTAGTCATTATTCTATGTCTGCATTCTCCATATTCCTCCGACTCGTCCAGGAGAAGAAACTCGGAAGCTCCGCTTTGAATGAACTCGTGGAGTGATTGTTCGCAGCGAGTGGGGGATGCGGGAGTTGTGTTCGGCTTACCTACACTACTGGCCCAGCATGCATCTCAAAAATGAACTCAAGCGCTGGCAACATTACATGCCTGGATCTGCCACTTCTCCAGAAACAAATGAGCACTGTCAGATTGCCATCGACCTTGCATTCCAAGGCGCCTTCTTTGTGTGGATCTAGCTGATGGAAACTGAGAACCTGTAAAATCTCTGTCTTCGGATCCTGAGACTGTGGCACTGCTTGGGAGAGCTAGCCGCAGTCGCCAAACTGCCGTGGAGCCTTCCAACCAGTATTCCAGGCTATTTGTATTGTCTCATCTTCTTCTGCATGCTCCTCTCGAGGTCAACGGGTTTCCAAATGCATGATCATGAGAACTCGTCGAAGCATTCTTCTGCTCAGGGTTTGGCGATTCAAACCCATCACTTCTATGACAAACCTGCTCGTGTTTCTGGATCACGCCAACGAGTAGGACAGTGAGAAGTGCCAGGCATCCAACATTGATAATGATCCTCCGATGTTCAGGTGTGTTGAGATTCACTGGTGAGTTCAAGAGGTCTGGACGGCTACGGTCTACAGCAACACAGCAGCACTTACCCTTCAATGCCCATGACGGGACAAGTGGCAGCGCCAAGTGGGTGGCGTGCGACCGCTTCGGGCTCGTGAGATCTGAAGCCTGCTGACGGAGCCAGAGTGCAAGCAGCGCCAGCCCTTGCCCTCAGAAGGCCTGTGCAGTGCTGAAGGTCCAGAATGCCACCGGGACTGCCGAGCCTGGAACCAAGCAGACAGAGGCTAAAGCGGCTACAAGTGCCCTCATCCGCTTGACGGCCCTTGAGTCCTGCCTAAACATCCGATGGCATACTCATGCACTGCCTCAGTAACAGCTCACCATGGTCCAATGCTGACAGCGTGCAGAAAGAGCCATCAGCACTCCTAGTCCCATGAGGCCAAGGAACCAAAGACGTCATCGCGCAAGCGTAGTCAAAGACTTCCGCCGGCAGAATTGGCAAGCTCCGTGCCATGAACACAATCTTCACTCCTTACCGAAAGATGCCATCCGGAAGAGTGCGGGAATGTTTCTGCGGTCTGGTGCTGCTGTGTTTCAGTGGTCGCGGTTGTAGCTGTCTGTGCAGGTACGGCTGCGGCTGTGCGGCTGCGGTTGGTGTTGCTGATGATTCATGTTGGTCCCATGCAACGCATGCCACTGCTTCTGACAGGTTTTCTTCGACCGCACGAGTCAGTGACCAGCCTTGAACAAAAACGTGGGACATGTTGTGCAAAGGAGTCGGCCAAGTGGTGCAGGCGAGGTTCCTGCACTGTCGATGATGCCTTAGCACCCGACAGAGCTTACGAGACAGAACAGTCATAGCCTTCGCCCTACCACTCCCTATATTTCCCAAACCAACTCCGCAAAATGAAGTGACGGCAGCAACGAGCAACAAAGAAAAACAGCTGCTCTATTCTGTTACATCTGCTGCAAAAGGTTGCTCTGTTGGCGGAATCGCCATCTGAAAGAAAATCAGGGATGAGCGAGCATTTGCCAGTCCAAGCGTCGGTTTAGCCGCCGCAGCACGCGGCTGTGCTTGCCTCGGATCCAACGGATCAGGGGCAGGTGGTGCGCTGCTTTTCGAACCAGACGCTTTGGGCCAAGCCAGTCCAAGCCAACATGCTGGTGAGTCGCTCGCTTTCCGCGCATAATCGTTCAGCAGCGTCTTGCCCAAAGCGAAGGCCAAGACACCTGTGCGCTTGTTGTGCTCCTTCTTGGCTACTTTAGTTTGCAAGCAAGCGCGCGTCGAGGGTCTTCTCTACTTGCTACAGCACCGCTTCTAGCACCAAAGATCGGCACCATTGCTGCACTGCCTGTGCACTCCCCATCAGATTTGTGTGCACTCAAAGTTACAGTACATGCTACAATAGCACGCCCCGAGATCTATCCCTCTCGTTGCAGCTCTGCCCTTGCACTTTCCAAGAGCAAGGTGCTGGCAACTTAGGACCCGACTTCCGACCCAAAGGCCACTGAAGACGACGCCGAAAGCAATCGCACCACCTGTGATGGCCTGCACCGAGGTACGCGCTGTGAAGGATGCAACTCTAAGGCTGGCGGTAAAACTCATCATGAGGCCTCTCCATCATTCAGTTTGGTAAACAATGGTCCAGAAAGTGCCATGACGGGGAAAACCGGCAGCATAATCACCTCAGTGAGGCAGCATGACCCAGGCGGGCGACGTCAGACGAAACTGGCTGAGCATTGCACCGGGAGCACCGAAGAAACAAGGAAGAGAATCAGTGCTGACCACATGCCTATCGTCCGGCACCAGTGGACCAAACCTGGAAACATATCGCATCGCCAACATTGCAGAGTCGCTACGTCTAGGATGGCTGACTGCTGCCACATTGCGTGAAATCAAACGACTCAGCCGATGATGATCGAGGATTCCATACCTCAACGGACCGAACTTGTCTATCCATCATGCGCAGCTGAGCAGCTAAACTTAAAGCAATCCTCTCGACTGGCAGAATCAGATGTTGCCGGGTGACAGGAAAAATGCAACGATGAGGCAAACTCCCACTAGGAGCCTGAAGGATCGCTGACACAATTGCATGGCAAGGAATCGAGTAAGTGGCGAGCCTGACATTCAGCTGGCTTTTCTCGATAACCCGGATCTTTGAGAAGTCCTCAGCATTTCGGAAATTAGGCTCAGGCAGCTTTGCAACACCTGGTCCCAGGCCTCCCGTTGCAGTCTTTCTTCTGAAGGGCTATCTTCGTGGCGCAGGGTGACGAGCAGTTGCTGATGCCTCCCCTCGCTGTCGTCGATGACCTCCTGGTAACCACGAGTGGTTAGTATAGTAAACGTTGCTTTTTGAACTTACTGTTTGAATCCTCCGTTGCACCTGCTTGCTATGGCATTCACATAAGATGAGGCAGGCTTGCCAGGCGGAGAATTTAAATGTCATGCAGTGTGCCGGGCTCCTACTCACCGGTTCGAGGCCTGTGGACTGTTCCAAGACTTAGCGCACTTCAAAGAACTTGGCTCTTTTGAAGATGTAAACTGAGGCACGGTGTGCTGAGTTGGGGGATAGACGGATAAAACACAGCGTGATTCTAATCTAAGACTCTAAGAAGGCAGCATGCGCGCTCCTTCGTTTTACACCATTTTGCCACGGCTTGCATAGCTACTCTGCATGTTTGCAGCCGCATGGCCTGAATGATACCGGAGGTGTGCCTTCGGTAGTGATGAAAAGGCTGGATCAATTCAATCTCGCTGCCTGCGGGGCACGAAATCCCATTGCCGATTACTGGGACGTGTTTTTTGGCGCCCAGCACCCAGCCTGCTTTGAATCTGGCGCCTTTGGCATAGCAGGCCTCGGCTGAAAAAAAAAACAAGTGCAATCTGCCTGAGGCTCTCAGCGGCAAAAGGCTGCAATTTGAATAAGTGTGCCACCTGGCACACATCCCAAACGCATCGCTCGCAGGACCAGAATAACTCGCCCTGAACGATCTTCCGCCGGCAGAAATCGCAGACCTTGGATACAGTTCGCTAGACACCGCAAGTGCAGACACAATAGGCCAAACTTCTCTCTCATCATAAATGTTTCAACGAAGGCTCAAATCTGTTGCTCTTTTTCGCTTCCATCTGGTGCAGCATGTGGTTGTGCAAACATCTGCGGTCATTCTCCTCGCCTATGCCGACCTTGGCAGAGTGCAAGCCAAGGGGGCCCCACAACTGCAATAGCTTCAAATGGCACGCAGTCTTCATCCCAACGTGCATGCACCGAGTGTTTGAGCGAAGCTTGAGGCTGTGAGCAGTGCCACGACCCTAAAGTCGCTTTGATCCTCAACAGAAACCTGTCCCTGGCCGTAGCTTATCATTTGCATCTCTGCTTGCCTTCGTTTTGGTGAGGATCCGTCATCCGTCCCGTCGGAGTTAGTATTGCTGTGGAGTCACGAGCTCGTAGGAGTTCTGAAAGGAAGTCCAGGACCGGAAGCCTGCGCTGGACTCTGAGTCTCGGAGAAGCTAGAAACCACTCAGAAAGGTCAGGAGCCTCGCTTGGCGCGGGCGACCCCGCAACTCTCACTGATTTGGCTGCTTCTGCTGACCTGCTTCGCATGTAAAGCACCCTTTTCCCAAACTGAAGAGCAACTAAGGCTTAACTAAGGCCGTGGCCGCCCTCTCCAAGCTGAGGCTGTCTAGGGTTCCGCTCCTCCCCTGGCACGGTGACACCGACAACTCCCCGCTTCTCCCCAGCGCTGCATTTGAGTGCAAGGCGCAAGGCGATCTTGCCTTGTCAAAGACCAGGCTTTCGGAGCACTCACACTGATTCGGCTCCATTGCATGGGGCTACGGCACTATGCACACCGAGTCAAGCTATTAAAGGACCCGACAGTCGGCTACATGAGTACTCCTGCCCTCTCCTTTGTTGCGGCTATTCCTCGGCGCTGCTACAATGTTTTTCAACGATCCGGGCCCAGCTCCTCGACCATCCGGAATGCTGTCAGACCGAAAAGCAGCCGTCGGGCAAGCCAGGGCGAAGTCACCAAGCACGGCATCAGCGAGCTACCGTTGCAAAACACTTGAGACCTTACTCTACCGTCTCGTGTCTATGGCGGCTGAAAGCCTCCCCATGTACGAAGGCCTGGCAGATCAGAAGAACAGCACGCGTTGGCCCGATGTGCTGCTGGGAACCAAGCTCAGCCTGGGACACGGAGAGCATGACATGGTGACATGGTCTTCTTTTCTGGGGATCGCAGGAAGCCAAAGCCCCCATAGACTGATCTGCATTAGCAGCATTAGCAAAGTCTTCGGGTGCCTCGGCGTTGATGACAGCAACCTGATTTGCAGCATCCGCTCACTCGCGCGCGGTTTCCCCCCGAAAGGCCCGCCTTGCAGGAAGCGGTCGAGACTTGGTCGGGAAGCTCGATGACTGTGTGAATTCCTGGAAGGAACACGTCGATCTGCAGACTTTGAACCCTCAAGCTGCCTTCTGGACCTTCCTGGACCTATGATCTCCACAAGCCTACAGTCGTACAGAGTCCCACGGGACCCAGGATTCCGACAGACCGCATGCCAAATCTTTCCCTTGCTCTCGCACCTTGCACTGTCCTGTTCTTTATCCTTGGCTGCAGAGACAGCGTGAAACCTTCGCCGAAGAACACTCGAAGCCAAGGAACCGGAACGGCTGTCCGAGCACAGACACGTGGAATCGCGGTCGGCCGGTGAGCGGATACTCGTCACGGTAGCCTGAAGCCCGGGGCACAAAGAGTCTGTAGATGTCATCAATAAATGTCAAGCTATGCTTCGCCAAGCTGCTCCATTCCAGGTCGGTTTGGTTCAGAAAGGTGGCCTTCAATCTTCGGACTGCATGGCCACTTCTGAAGGCCACATCCAGGTGCGGATCTTGACATGAGTCGTTCTTCCTGCTCACTGCAAATGATTCGTGCGGCAAAGGCTCCACTTCTGGAATGATGGGAATGTACAGCTTCGACATCTGGAAGGCTACAGGCGCTGCGCTCGGGGGCACCTGGCGTGCATGCGCTTTCGAAAACCTTTCCGACTAAAGAGCTTGCAGAGTTTCGCTGAGCAAGGAGATCTGCATTGTCTTCCAAGAGCTCTCGGGTCGCGATGTCATTTTGTCAAGCCTCTAGCTCCACGAGGTCGACGTCCATCACCGGCAATTTTGGCCTCTCTTCGGCCTCTCCAGCTCAGCAGATCTCAGCATTTCAGCGCACTGGCGAATCGGAAGTTGCCCTGGTGGCCTTGTGGCGACCCAACCACGCCCAGGACGGGGTGGCAACCGCCACGAAGAGCATGCATAGAATGCAAAGGCCCGCAGACCTGCGGAGGATAACAGTACCCAGCAAGCTCGAAACGCCTTGTTCAACTCACACTCGCCTCCCATCCTGACCCAACCCCGCCAACCCCCCTTCTGTTGAATAGGCTGGTGACTTTGAGGTATACTAATTAGTAAGCCAGTGCTAGTCACACCACGCCACCAGATTTACATCACTGCTCAGGCCCTGGGGCTGTGCCTGAAGGCTCGCTTGGCCGGCCGTCCTCGCATCAGGTGCCGCGCTGGCCGGGCAATCGCTTCGGCCTGAGCTTCTTCTGCGAAGCCCGTCAGGTCCCGAGAGAAGCAGTTCGCAAGTGCATCAACATAACTATGTGTGCATGCGCATGTGCGTATGTGCGTATGTGTATACATGTATATACGTGTATACATGTACATGTACATATTATTGTGTTTATGTACATTCGTACGCGTACAATGTGCGTATGCATGCATACCTGTGTGTGTGTGTGCGCCAAAGAACGTACGCTTGCATGCAAGACAGCTTTATGCGCGGATCTGCGCACATACATGCATGCATACATGAATACTACATACGTACACACCTACATACATGCGCACATGAGTCCATCCATGCGTGAATTAATGCCATGCATGCACTTTTGATTCCGGTCGGCTCGCCGACACCCCCGTCCCCATGGTAGGATGATATCCCATGGTATCCCCACGCACACGCCCGGGTGCAAACATGCTGACTCCATGTGACTGTGCTTGTGACTGTGGAGCTTTCCAACCACGACTCCAACGTGAGGGTATTAAAAATGCAACTGTCGAGGATCGAGTTCCTCACAGGCCCGGTTCCTGTGACAGTTGACCCAAGAAAGGA